TCCTCATTGGCTGCCGCGGCAGCGGCAGCAGCGGCGGCGGTGGCGGCAATAGCACTTGCGTACGTCCTCTATCTCTCTATCAGGAAATTTGCACGATAAAATTGTTTCAGCAATGATTGGCTAGAATTCGTGATGGGCCTAGCCCATTCTTTTATCTTTTATAATAAATTAAGCCCTAGTTCATTCTCTTTGAATTTATGCAATTTTTACGAATTTATGCTATTTTTATAATGTATTAGCACATAATGCATTATTAATTTTGATACGTCACAAATAAATTTTCATCACGACACGAACCACGAGGTAATATCTTCAATAAAAAATATTCAAACTTCAATTAAAAGTTATCTAAAGCTCCGATTTCAATAAATTTATAGTCAAACTCATCGGTTCGATGAGACAAACTTAATGATATCAAAATTACTTCAATCCGAGTCAAATCATACCCAGATCAGGTCATTAAACCACTTTTGTAAGATCTACGGACATATTTGGAATGTCAAATAGATATCAAAGCTGACAAGTTTATAGTCGAATTAAATGTCTCGACAAGACGAATCCAACAAGCCCAAGATTACTCAATTTTGACATTGTTAAGACACTCAAATATCCATTAAACACCGTATAATCGGAGAATTCTCTTTAGACTATTTGGATTGTCCGATCAAAATGGTTCATATTTATGCATTAATGACACTCATATACTATAAATAGACACCTACCCCTCTTATGAGAGGACTGAAGCCATGGGGGAGAACTTGAGGCTTTGAGAATGAGCTGAAGTTTAGCACCACCACCGACCGCCGTAGACCGCTGTCGAACACTACTGACCGTCGCCGAACCCCGCCAAATCTCATTGTTGTCGACCAACGCTGATCGTCGTCAACCATTACCGACCATCGTCAACCACCGCGGACCAAACACTGTCAATCAAGTAACTTGGAAAATCAAGCAACCTCTCCCATCTGTCAGACAAGAGCTCATCACTACGGTCCATATGCCAACTACGACCAACGTGATCATCAGCTCATGCAGCTCTCAACTCCGGTCCCAACTATCTATGGACATCACCACTGCTCACTGTTACGATCCATATGCCAATAACGACCTACGTTGCCATCAGTTCATACAATTCTTAAATCTGGCCACAGCAGCCTGCGAACGTCATTAATATTCGCCTCAACAACCTACGTGGTCATCAGCTCATACAGCTCCCGACTCTGGTCCCCGCGACTTACGAACGTCATTAATACTTACAATCTACGTGATTAACTGTTCCCGCAACTGCTCACTATGACTTCTCTGGTCAATTAACGCTTTTGGAGCAACATTCCACCACACTCACAACGAAATACTACCTTCACAAAAATCAGCAAAGACCCTTGCAAATTGTTGTCCCCAAGAACTACAGCCATATTATATTATGCAACTTTGTAATTCTATCTTTCCTAATTTATGAGAAGAATGAACTTGTGTACTCATCATTCATAGTGGATTATTTCAACTGGGCTAGACCCATGATTTTTCCCCCTTCCGAGGGTGGTTTTCCACGTAAAAGTTGAGGTGTTTTTTCCCCGCTCCCGCCTCCAGTTCCCATCTCCCGCTCCTCTGTTGCGAAATGCCACGACTATCCTCCCCCGCCTCTCCTTTCGTTTTCGCGAATCGGCGCCCTCTCCCGCTTCCGCTGCCGCCCCGTGAAGTGAAACGTCCAGCCGCGAACCGTAGGCGCCAACCACTCTTGCCTTCCTTTTTTGTGAAGCGAAACATCTCGTCGCTCTCTCCTGTTCGTGATAAAAGACTTTGGATGACTCTCTTTGGATTTTAGAAGTCACAGTGTTCTTCTTCGGTTTTTCTCGGGATAGAGGAAGGCTTCCTCAGGATGGAAGGAAGGAAAGTGCAAGAGGTAGTTCCTTGCAGTGAAGAAAGAAGAAAGAAGAAAAAGATTGTTCTCTCTTAGCTTCTTCTTGGTGACTTGTGGCAGAAGAGAAATTGGATTTATTTTTCTTGTAAGTTTATATTCTTCAGTGTATCTAGGTGTAGAGAGAGAAGAACAGAGAGAGAAGAATAGAGAGCAACGAAGTGAGAGTGAGGGATTCCTTTTGTAAGTCAAGATGATCGACAGGTGTAATTCCTCAAGTATTAAAATCCTCTGCAACTCTGTGGACGTAAGCAATTTGCAGAATCACGTAAATCTGTGTGTTCCGTTATGTTGTTCTTTTCTGGTATGAATTTTCTCGTTCTATTTTTCGCTTCAAAGATCGTTCTCCTATTTGATTTATATATATACCACATCAACTAGTATATCTAGATCTCGTTACAACTATAACTCCATCCATATGGTTCCTCTAAGCATTGTTGTAAGAATTTAGCTTATTCCTCTCAAATGTATACTTGTTTCATGCAATGTAACTTAAGATCACATTAAAGCACCTCTTTAAACCACCTTATATTTGGGATATTAGTTCCTCCTTGCACAAAGTAAAGTTATAATGTTTCCATGCTCTAAGAGGACACCATTAAATGATTTTTTTTCTTTTCCAATCATCGTCATTCATTCACTATATTTAGCAAGATTTTTGAAATTCACTTAATTACCAGCTCATTATGAAGCTTATATTGCCTACAAAAATGCTTGTTCAATATTGTGAATGACTTTTTGATAATAAAAAACTTATATGCTTTTTTGAACTCTTCGGAGTTGAGACATCTTAAACTACTTCAACTCATGAATCTTCTTCCACCTATAGCCTTAAGATAGATAAGGAAAGTTTAGCTCGATTCAGAATAGAATTTCACTCAATTAAAGTTTATGTTCTCTCAGTCTTATTGCATTTATCTTTCTATCTTTCTACATATCTTAATATACAGTGTAAAATAATCCCCCAGTACAGATCTGTGACTACTCTAACTTGTACTCATACTTTTCAATAGTGAATATTATTTTTCAACTCTATATAAAGAAGTTCGGCCACATGACTAAATTGCTAGATTTTTTTGCTCTCCTTATATTTTGTCACTACTTTACTCTTGACACCTTATAGAATAACTTACAAGTTTACTTGTTCCTAATTCCTTTTCTCTTCATATTTACCTACATAACATGATAATATATAAATAAAATAAAATGTTCACTAACATTAACATATGTAAAATAAAATGCATATTTTCATGAATAAATTTTTACATGATATAAAACCTAAAATGTTAGTTATGTGAATTGATAAAAAAACTATTGATATATACGTAAATCCACCCCATAATATTGTGTTCAAATATTTTATATATTAGAGAACTCAAGCCAAAAATACTCCCATTGGTTACAATCATGCGGCTGCTGCCTCGACGAGTACTGTAGACCCGATATCAGCATAATTTTGCTGATGTAAGCAGTGACGTATGCATAAATAACAAACATTAAAAAATATAGGAACGTTTACAGGTCTTTTTGAGGCAGCTGCATCTTATTGAATAATCAGCTGATAAACTATGTGTGGTGGCTATTATAAATTTTTATTTTTATTTTGGAAAAGCCAGAAAGCTATCAGAAAGGTACCATCTCACCTAGATGGGCGCTGATTTCAGCATTTTGAAATGATATCTTAAAATAGGAAAATAAAAACCAATGTTGTGAGTTAGAGAAAGAGATTTAAAAAGGAGAGAGCTTATCAGAGAGGAAACCTAGAGGAACCCAAAAAGACCGCTCAGCTCTCGCCATGATTGCTTAGTTATATGAGGATTTGGGATATGGAGCGCTATAATAAATGCTATATTATAATCAATACTTGGATAATAAAATGCATGTTGGTATATGTATAGCCAAATATATAATAATTCAATCCCAATTCATATTAGATTCAAATCAGATCTATTCAAAAGTCAGCTTGACTAATCGAGAGGTTGGACATATCGACTTGAGAGCCAGCTATAGCATCGATCAATTCAATAACTCGTGGACACTAGCCCATCAATTGAATATCTCATCAATTATGAAATGGGGAAGACATGAGAAGAAAGGGAAGGTGAACGAGTAAAAAAGAGCTTGATTTATTCCTTGTTATTACCAATACAAAGGAGTAGTTGATAAATATAGACAACAATGCATGCATGAGATATAAAAGACTAGAATGCAGAGAATAGTTGACCCCATCAATAATAGACTTATTCAGTTTCTTTATCATGCCCCTGCAACCTAAAGATATATATAGTTGATATTGTTAGTTTGTCTCATTGGACTTGATGTGACTGGTGATGAAATAATAACCTATTTCAATATGCTTGGTACTCGCATGAAAGAGGGGATTATGGGCATTTGCCATTACAGACATGTCTCAAAAGATTGATATAAGTTATGAACTTGGTATGTTTAGAGAATTCTTCGTGACCAAATAAGTAGTGGTAGAAAGAAATTTTAGAACGATAGAAGAAATTTAAGATTTCAAA